TAGGTCCACTTTGATCTGTAATTTACGCTGGACTCTTGTCACAAAGAGCTCACTGGTGGTGGGAAATGTCCCACAATAAGTCGAGCCAGTTGTTTGAAGCTATGAAGGTTCCAGTCACACTTCACTTGGGCCGGGGCCCCTTGCATATGATATGATATGGCTACAAGTATTGGTTTGGATGAGCTTCCTATAAGAAGCCGGAATCATGTGCTGGACATGAGCTGGTTCGGATCCAAAGAAGCAACCCCAAGTCTGACATATCAAGTGCAGTCTAGCCAAGAAGCTACTAACAAGTGCATCGCTCCTAGTAGCGTCCTTGTTACTAGTAGTAAGGTCAGGAGCCCCTAGTAGCTTCTTGTTACTAGTAGTAAGGCCAGGAGCTACTGGTAGCTTCTTGCTCCTAGTAGATGCCCTTGTTACTAGTAGCGATGTACTTGCTACTAGTGCCACTAGTGCTACTAGTCTTGCTCCAGGTATCGCTCCCGAGAGGTGGCACAGTTGCCCAAGAACGGTGGGCAGTTGTGTCGGATACCCAAGAGTTTTGATGAACATGAAAGAAACACACCTTGATTGGTGTTCCAAGTCACGTACTCTGACCTAGAAAGCTTCGCGCTCTTTCTTTACCAACCATAATGTGCTTTCCGAAGCTTTCCGAAGGCGTTCCTCTTTTCCTCATTTGCTGGGCAGCAATTCTGAGCGACTTCTCATTCTGTGATCTTCAATCCTGTTCATTCCTTTCGAGCCTCAAATTTGTTCCTAGTAGCGTCCTTGTTACTAGTAGCGAGGCCAGGAGCCCTAGTAGCGTCCTTGCTCCTAGTTAAAGAAAACCCCATCAATTGAAGTTCCATGATTCAGCATGATTCAGCGTCAGCCGTTCCGCTCTTCATCCGTTCCGCTTTTTGAAGGTCGTGGCGACCTCCGCGAAGTGGATGGCGTGGCGAGCCCGGCCTGGGAGCCGAGTGTGACTTGGGGTGAGGGAGGAGTTGGGAGGAGGTGCTCCTAGTAGCGATGCCCTTGTTACTAGTAGCTTCTTGCTCCTACCAGGAGCCCCTAGTAGCGTCCTTGCTCCTAGTTTTGCAACTCACTATCATGGAAGTGGAAAACCACCCCGTCACATAGTCTTCCACCATTTAGCTGGAGTGTGATTATCAGAGTGCAATGTGTTTGTGGTGGGTGTCCCCGGATAAATATAGGGCTGGCACCCTCCCAATAGGTTTATTCTTTCTGGACCTCTGGGAGGCGCATCTTGGGTCGCCTCTCCTGCCCTGCCAACGATTAATCTCTGCTAATTGAATATTACTGTATTACACTGTATATTCATCCCCTTCCAGACGGCCATGTTTTTACCTTCTGAGCCTATCCTATCCGAAGGGATTTTTTTCAAGCTTGCTAGGGAGATGCTCTCATCACTGAATAACATAAATAGTTTGACAGGATAGTTACTATTTCATATATCTTCACATCCCCCTACACCCAAAGTTTCGGTGCAATGCTTTGTCTTCGTACCGCCCACGCCATTCTCATCATTGAGCCTTGGATCTGGCAGGAGAAGACTCCAGTGGATTGTATTCTGATGCCATGGTCTTGCACTTGGCTGTCTGATTTTGTTGCTACAGCCTGATGAACACTTGAGGCCGTTGAGTGAGTGCACAGCTGCATAGCTCAAACTCTCAAACCCAGACCCCATGTTTCTGCAGGCGATAATGAGTGAGTTTGCTATATGATTTTCATTATTTCCAAGTCCCTTGAGTGGCTTCCCTCATGTGAGGGGTTGCAGACAGTTGAGCTTGGATGCAGGTGCCGGTGCCAGGTTATCATGTGGGCCTTCCAATTCCAATACTCAATCTTTGTTCCACACCAGCCTAATGATAGCAACTAGAGCCTCCAGCTTTGCTGGGAATCAGGCAGAGGACAGCTACTTTTGTTGGCGGAACCTCTGGGCGAGCTCTTTTGGTATAGAGATCCAGAGCAACTCGGGATAACTCGAGGGTTGATGCCTTCCACTAATCTGCTTGCCGTTTGGCAGTGACTTTGCCGAGGTCTACCTGGGTTGGTTGCAGCCGAACCTGTGGAGGCCAGTAGACCTCGATGATAAATTCCTTATGGCCTAGGAGCAACGTTCGCTACTAGGAGCAAAGGGCATCGCTACTAGGAGCAACGACGCTACTAGGAGCTCCTGGCCAACGTTCGCTACTAGGAGCAACTCACTTCCCTTGGCCACACTTGGGTTCCGCCAACTCCAACACATTACCTGTCTCATTCCTTTGCCGTGTCACACGCCAAGCCACGATAGCTGGACCAGGCCAATCACTCATTTGTTTCGCTTTTTCCTATGCCCCACACCTGCAGGCGGATGGCAGCAGCGTCAACGCGGCATCCAAGATCAAGCTCGGAATGGTGGACGGCCATGTAGGGCACCCAGATGCATCAGGGGCAGACAATTGGAACACTTTGGTGTGGCTTTTCAGCTCCACCTATTGATTCGAGAGATGGACAAAATTATTATGGTATTATAGTTATCACCAGAGCCGGTGGAAACAGATCTGAACAAGCTTCGCGGAAAAAAGTTATGGTACTGTACATATTTTAAATCTTATCGAACCTGGATCTGGGATGAGATGGATTTGAAAGGCCTGTTTCTGACATCGACAAAGCTAAGTGCCACCAGAGCCAAACGGTACAACCTCTATGCACAATATTCAGCAAGAACTTCAACAGTTGCCAGAGGATCTGTACTCTAAGATCAATCTACGATTTTTCTGGCGTTAGGTTGGAGGCCATCGCTATTAGGTTGATGAAAGCTAGAAAACACAGATGCTTCATGGTTCCCGTCCTGAAGCCGAAAGCGACGGCAGTGGCTGAGGCCTGGGTGACTTGTCCGAGGGCCGCCCTTGCGGAGACTTCGCTTGTGAGGAGATCCACCTGGAATCCACCAAACCCTTTTTGGTTAATGGCCAGGTCTAGTGGAAGCCCTTAAGCCACAAGTACTTGACAGATGTTCTGTGAGACCTCCAAAGTACATCGATCTTTTATAACCGGACCCATCAGTTCTACGCTTCTACGCAACTCTTGTGGTCCATGGCAAACCACCCGTTTTGATGGATATGAAAGGATATGAAAGGGTTAGTTTCAGCTACGGCCCAACTTGGATTCACTCACTGCACCAGGAGAGTGATTGTGAGTTGGGTGCGTGGAGCACCTGGACGTCCTGCTGGGGAGGAAACCAGAGGCGAGAGCCGCGTTCCAGTCATCGTTAGGAACCAAATGATTCGTGCGAGCGTGAGCTATCCTGCGTCCTACCTCAGAGCTTACTGAAGCTACTTAAAAAAAAAAGCAATGCGTTCGAAAAGAACACGCTTAGAGTCTGCTCGGCTAGGTCGCGCACTCGTGTGGTGACCCGACCAGCTTCCTCTGGGGGGCAGCCCGGAACTCAGTTGTCGCTACTCCTTCAATCCTACACTGTGTGTGCATCGATACACCTACTAAATGAGGTATTCCAATTTATCTATCTATGTAGCGAAGTGATAACAAATCAAGGGCCAGACGTGGACCTAGTTTTTTTTTTTTCCGTCAAACACAAACCAAAGAACAAGCATTACAAACAGAACCTGGACAATGCCACCAAGTTCAGATGTCCCGACAGTGGCCAATTCCTGTCGACACAGAGGCCATGTGGAGCAGACTATGATGGATTTGTACCCATGAAGGAAACTGCGCTGGGCGCTGAAGGGGGTTGAGGGTGTATATAGTACTGCAAGCCTGGATGCCTGATGGGCGCGAAAGGATTGCTCATGACAGTTTCAGCAACAAAAGTCCAGTTTAATCTAGGCCTCTCAGCTTTGGAAATGACATCATCAAGTGAAGGACGAGGAAAGCCTTATCAAGACCCCTGCCACTTCATGACATGTTGCAAGCCACCAAGGCCTTGCGCCGATGCTCGCACAGATTGCGAGGTGTCTGAATGGCTGGTGTCTCAGAAACAGAAGAGAACTTGTGGCACAAACACTGTTTTGATAGTACAATGAGTTGGGATGATCACTGATGGTGACCTCGTGGCTTGGTGATTTCTACCTGCAAGAAGTGTGAAGCTTTCAGTCATGCTAACTGCTAGGAGGGTTGTGCCAATCTACAGTCTTTTTCAAAAATAATGTGCTTTCTGGCAATGTCCCTTTGATAATAATCAATATCTGCACCATTCCAACACGTGAAGCTCCAAGAAAATTGAAAGAGAGGGGTGACAAATGCATGTGTCAGTAACCCACACGGGTTCCAAACTCGTTCCGCATCCCTTCTGTGTCGTCACCATCCCTTCTCACAGGTCTGCCTGGGATTCCTGTGACCGCACCTGTGGGCCTGGACAGCAGCAGAGACATCGTCAGGCGTTGGGTGTTGGGATAGACACAGCTGAGGAGAGCCAGCATCGTTGCTGCAGGTATTTAAAGAAACCAACCCTGTTGCTTATCGCTTGCAGGAATCTACTTTGGCTTTAAGACTTACAGTTCTCCCAATAACTTTCTTCTGTGACGATCTCAGCCACTGCACGACAGAATGAGCATGCACACGGTTGGTTCTTGCGGTGTTTGTTTCCAAGAACCTAGCCTGTAAATTTCTTGCCACGGACCGCATCAATCTAGCCAGCCACTCAGTTCTCGGTTCCTTTTGTGCGAGCCAAGTGGAGTCGATGTCTCAACAAAAGGCATCAAAAAAAATATATATATTGCGGAGTGTCCGCCCCAACCGCGGGGCGCCGAGCGGGCTCTTCTTTCCTCAAGCCGAAGGTCCCTCCGGGGTCACGACATGTCACGGGTGGACAAAATGACTGGTCTCAAATCTTCAAATTCCAAAAATGGCTCTTACGGGTACATTCTCCGCCTTCATAATAATCTTTGGATGTAGGAGCACATGAAGCTATGCAGCCATCTCATGTCCAGCTCAAATCGTCGGCAGTTCAACTCTTGAACTTCCGTGGGATCGTGCTGTCTGGGAATCGTTCAGTCGACCCCTCAGCCAACTCCGTGTAAGCCAGCAAGTAGGCAATGAGGTCCTTGATGGGTGGCGACATGTTGGTGCGGTCTTTCCGCGCCATGAGCCATCGACTGTAGTTCACCAAATCCGTCTCAGGTGAACTTGCAAGGTCTTCATAGCTGAGGTTCTGCTTAGACAGCTTTCCTGAAGTGATCAAGGTCTTACCCCAATGGTCCATCGAGGTGATGCCCTTGGGGAGAGGAATCGATCCCTGGTCCTGGGAGCTCATCTTCACGATCGGCCTCTGGGAATGCACATGTGGGGCCTGACTCGAGTCAGCGGTCAGGCGACGCTTGGACGAGTCTTCATGGCACCACTGTCCAGGCTGTATCCAGCAGAGGGCACAAACTCAAATTCACTGGTTTCGTGCTCCATCAAAGCGTTCAGCAACAGATGGACCGAACCTTCTTCCTTCACCTTAGTCAAGAGCTCCTTAGCCACTGTGGACAACTGAGCTGGAGCACCGGCCATGTCTAGGTCGGGAGGAAACTGCAAAACACAACACCCGGTCTAGTCGTGAGACGGCGTGATACGAACACTGAAATTCTGGATGCAAAATGGCCACAGACACAACCTGCTGCATTCTAAGGTCGAAGCCGGCAAAAAGAACATTGATTCCCTTCACTGATCACAGTGACTTCCCAAACAATCAATGCGAACTCTAAACCCCAAAAATGCAGATCACTCATGATCTGTCTCTTCCCCTATCCGGCTTGGAGGCGACGGAGCGGCACAGTTTGCCTGAAGATTCTTACGAAACTCCTTTTCTCGTGCTTGATGCTTCAATACAGTTTCTTCAGGCGAGATTTGATATGAAGATCGCTTCATACAAGATCTAAGCAAGTCTATTGGATCTCCATCGTTTTTGGTGAGTGCATCAGCGAGCATTCGATTTGTGGGTACCCACCGCACAAAAGCATTCATGGCCCTACAGCTCTCTCGGATTATTACCACATCTATACTGGTTCGGCGGTCATCGATTGATGTGGGGGCAGAAGGAGAATGCAAGTGATCGTACAGGCTCTTGCAATCTGTCACGATGATCGGTCGGCGTCTTTTCAGCACGTCTCGACAGGATCGCATTGTCAGCGGGCCGTCAAAAATCTCAGCCAACATCAAAAGTAGCCATTCAGTGGTCCCAGTGGCCGTGGCAAGTGCTTGACTCTCGGCTGACATGGTACTGCTCACTGCTCTAGGGAGTTTATAACTCTTCCATGATGCTGGACACCAGGTTGATTCCAATCCGTCTTGCAGGGATGCGTGAGTGAATCCAATGATATATCCAGCCTGAGTATGATTTCCCCTATTAGCAAATGCTGCATCACTGTGGCATACCAGTGTCAGTTGGTCTGGGTCAATTGATTTGAACACAACTCCCAACTCACTATGCTGTTTAGCTCTTCTGATCGCCTGATTTGCCATCCGAAAGTCTTCGATCGTCGGCTTTGGAAAGGCCTGTTGGGACAGACTAGTCTGGACGCTGATGTCCGGGCGTGACTGAGATGACAACCATCCGAGACTGCCATTCACGGCACGCAGCACTTTGACTTGACTGTCGGTCAAAGGATCACCTGGTGCACTATTCTTTGGCACATTGATTGATCGCATCTTGTCGGCAAAAGCGTTCGTGTCCATTCGAATTGCCCCATCTTTGGTTTGGGAGTACCAGGCACCACAAAACTCACCTGTGCTTATTCGCCATTTTCTATATGGGAATCTAGTACGAAGTTTCTTGATTGAGGCCTCGAAAACCGGTCCATGTCCACCTACTGCTGTATCATCCACGTGCGCGCCCATGATCCCCACCAAGGCTCCTGCTTCATCTCGAAGCGTGAACAGGCACGGGTCTAGAACACTCTGATACCAGTTCAACCCCTTTACATACGAACTAAATTCTTTGAACCAGGACGCCGGAGCGTCGTTCTGTCCGTAGATATTTCCGAGCACTTCTATCACTGCTGATTCAGGAAGGCCGGGGATGCCACCAGGTGGTTGGCGTGCGTAGAGTGGGCGAAACGCATCGTTCAGTGGACCTGCCTCTAGGAACGCGCCTTTTATATCGCCTAACTGAAGTACCCAGCCCTTTGATGCAATCGTCTGAAACAAACACATCCGGCCTAGTTGACTTAAGGTAGGGGACTTCAACAGGCCCTGTTCGGCCTTCTGAGACAAATCCGGGTCCAAGTGCCCCTGTAGACACCATCTGCCCTTTACCGTGAATGTGGTGCTGTCATTTGGGTCCAAATCCATACCTTCTTCGAGCGGCTTTCGAGTCAACACGAATCTACTCCCTATGAAACGATGGTCTTCCTCTTTTCGAATGCGATCGGCTTTTGCTCCATAGTGGATCTTTACCGAATTAGGCTTGGACAGAATCGTTTCCCATTCCACACGTTTGCCTAGTTGGACCTTTTCCTGAATGTCGGGAGGATTGTTGCTGTGGTGCAGTTCCTTGCTCATTTTCTTTTTGAGATATTCTGCCATCAGGCAATCCCACGACACACTTTGTGCTTGGAGGAGGAAATCAACATCTTCAACACTCAACACTTCTGCCATGCGAGGCCTCGACGACACTGGTTCATCGGCGGACGGAGATGCCGGTCTTTTGTTTTGTGACATACATGCATCTTCAACAAGTTGGGGTACTATCTCCTTCATGATGTCAACAAAATCTGTTTGCTTCAAGGCAGGAGGCCGCCACAGTGCCATTGGTCCATCCTTCCCTTCGATTCGGCGGCGAATGGGACCATAGGACGACGGTGCCGCAGTTTCGGCGGAACTTGGAGTGTCAGAAGTCTCCTCTACTGGTGTCGGAGATTTCATCTCTGTCATTTCTTGATCACCCTTCACTTGCTCTTCTTGAGAGTCTTCTGGCACAGCTGAAGTGGACATCGGCTCAGGCACGAGTGGTGCATTCACTTGAGACGGCGCTACCACAGTGCTTGACTCCGGCTCGGTACGAATATCGACAGCTGGCTCGACTGGTCCTTCTTGTGGGGGATAAGATTGGGGCAACAGGTCTATATACTGTTTACTTCGGAGGTTACCACTATCAATCAAATCCTTGATACCTAACAATTCAGCTTGGGGCGATGCAAGCAGGGTTTTCTCCTCATTAGTAGCCAGACGGAGTTGCTCTGGAGCGCATCTCAGCACTTGTCGTCGATGAATGATGACGACATTGCGACCTACTCGACCGAGAACGATGGCGACTCCATACCACTGACCCCCTTGTTGGAGCTGACCCTGAACCCACTTTTGGTTTCGCCAATAGGCTACCATATCACCCGGATTGAAAGCCACTCGGGGACGTGCCAGCAGAGCCACCCGCAGGGCTCGATCGTCTTGCATCTGAACCAATGCCGTACGAGCAGCTGTACGAATAGCTTGAGCTCTGGCAATTGATGCTTCTGTCAGGGAAGCTGTTGCTGGGATGACCTGGAGAGGTTCATTCAGCAAGTCCTGAGGAATATGTGGATTGCGACCAAACACGAATTGGTATGGTGAAAAACCATGTACCTGCAACTGTTGGTTCTTGATGTGTGCATGCACTACACATTCTAACCATTCCTCTTTGGATGATGGAGAAAATTCGTCAATCAACTTCTCTAGAACGCGGTTGAACCAGCCTCCATGAGTTTCACACTTTCCCAATTGCCAGTGGGCTCCAGCAGCAATCGGACGGATCTGGACACCGTCCAGCTCGGCAGGCACTACCATCGGATCTCCCAGGTTTGTTCTGGCAGGGTCCAAAACGATCTCTTTGGGAACACCAGCCCACGAAATCCAACTGTCGGTGAACAACTTCCTCAAAACACTTGCAGTTTCTGTTTCAAAGAAAGGAATCACCCGTTGAAAACTGCTGGCAGTATCGACAATGTTTAATGCCTTCACCTTTTGGTTAGGTAACCAACCTTTTAAGTGCTTAACATCGAGACCGACTTGACTGTTGAACTCTGTGATCCGATGAGGTTGCGCAGGCAGAGGCACCTTTGGTTTGAGCTGACTCCGGCACAAATCACACGAGAATTCCTTAGCCAAACGTATTGCTTGCTCACTGGCCTGTCCATGACGAAGAATTCTGACTAGATCGTGATTTGATGGATGACCTAAGTTCCTATGAAGCTTATCCAAAACCGGAATCAGATCACTGTCAGAGCGGTCTCGGACCTGTCCAGCGGCTAGGATCTCTGTCCATGACGCATCGGGGACTTCTTCATTGATGACTTCTACATGAGCGATGCATTCACATGACGAGGTGGCCTTGGATCGATCTAGCTGAAACTGAGGTATCGTATTCAACACCGCTTGAACAAATTTCACGGGGTAGGCACCAGCAAATGTACTGATACGAGGAACACCAGGTGCACTTCCGGCGATCACATCATGACACTGATGCGTTCCAGTCTGGTCACATGTGAGACCCAGGCTGGACATGTCTTCATGAGAGACCAACAAACGGGTGCTCTTACGGATGTACCGGTCACTCTCAGGCAATTGAAGACCATACCTGCACATGTGAAGCTTCACTGTGTGAAAACGTCGGCAGAGTCCTTCTACCTCAGGGTAGTGCCAGGTTCTTGCCCCTGTCGGATGCTCAAACACCACCCTACATCCCAACTGTACACCTATTCGGAACAGTTTGCAACACCATCGAATAAAGCTTCGGCTCTGTGCCTTAATGCGCAACACTGTGTGAGGATCCCATTTCTGACTATTCAACCAGAACCAACCACCTTCATGAGTACACGGAGGGCGCAGAATGAGCAACGACGGCGTGTCGTTGATGAGATCATCTTCCACCTTTCTCCTGTGTTGAGCCAGGCGAAAATCCCAACCGTTCTTAAGATCATACGATCGAGCTCGGAAGTGATGTTTCTCTGCTTCAAGCGAAAAACGTGGAGGTGAAAACACTTCCATCACAAGACATCGATCTTGAGGGTGTTGCTGAACGGCCAAACAAGTTTTGATTTGACTTTCCAACTGTCGACTCTCTCTCTCTCGGTCGGTTGCCACTCATTGGACACGGACATGGTTTCACCCAAAAATGAAAATTCGGTCCGAACATGAGCAACTCTTCGAGGAAGGCGGACGATGGTGCGATGTTGAGGGTTCCCTGGAATGATTGGGGAGTCGTCAAGAACTTGGTTGGTTTCACAATCAATCACTTTCCTACGAACCACTTGTTTCCATGCAGGCCCTGAACGAGATAACCACGGAGTTGCCATCACATCACTGTTCTCCTGAGTCCAAACAGCTAGCGGCTTCTCATCCGCCGCAGGCGATGCAGATGGCTCGAGAGTCAAGGGTGTGTCTGCTTCGGGCGCTTCCGGCGACCGGTTCGCTGGATGAGGATGAGGCTCAAGGGTCATGACTTCCGTGAAATCAGCTGCTAGAGTGTCTTTGGGGGAAAGCAAATCAACCACATACTGTCCTGCTCCATTTGTCTTGAGTGGAACAGATTGACCAAAAACATTGAGACAGTCCTTCTGAAAATCCAGTGAGGCGCCAAGGGACTTCAAGGCACTGCGACTCACCAGAAGAGGAGCGTCACCTTTGATCACTGCAGCTCTGATCACCCCTCGGCGATTAGCCAGGATGACGGGCATCTGAACGGAATAGTGGGAGGTCTCCACATCACCATTTCCGAACTTGAACTGGTGCACCTCGGAAATCTTGGAGGGCACTGTCCAGCCACGCTGAGACCACAGCTTTTCAAAGCTCTGTAAAGTTGAAGCTCCAACAACTGTCCTACCACAGCCCGAATCCAACACACCAAATCCTGGTGAGGAAACCAGCATGACCTCGTCAGGGGTCCACTCACCAGCAGCCTTGGAAAACCGCATACGTGCTTGCTCCAACAAGGTCGGGCGATTCATGATCGCTGCAATGAAATCCAGCTCTTCCACAACTGCAGCACCTGAAGGTTGAGAAGCTCCTGATGCAGGTGGACCTTTGTCGGATCCCTTGCTGCTGCCTTTGCGAGTGTCTTTTGCTCGACACTCACGGGCCCAATGACCTCGACGGCCACAGCGGTTGCAGGTAGTGTGTCGCTTCATCTCTTCCACTTCCACACGAAATGCTCTCTTCACGTCCTTGGACTTCTGGAATTGTCTTGTCTTTTGGAGACGGTTGAGCTCTTGTCGACGCTCTTTCCATGTGGCAGCCAACACTTCTGCCACCTCAGCTTCATTGTAGGCCTCCGTGTCAGCGGCCCAATCAGCGGACGATTGATGGTCTTCCAGCAGGCGCTCCACGTCTGAAAAATCTTCTTCCCAGGCATCGTGGGGCTCGGTCGGATCGTCCATGGTCTCTTCTGCCAATGCAACGGCTGTTCGCCGTTTTCCAACAACAAGGTCGGGGTAGCATGATCGGAGAGCTGCTGCAATGGATTCCCGTTTGAGATCTCCACGGGCACGCGAAATGACCACGGCCTTCTGCTCCTCGCTGAGGTTGGCCCTGTGCAACAAAAGCCAGCCCCTGGCTTCGTCAGGAAACTGAACTCCTGTTTTCCTGTGGCATCGGTCGAACAGCTCCGATGCTCTGGCAGCCCATTGTTTCATCGTTTCCCCCTCCTGGGAGCGAAGATTGAAAACCTCGCCCAGGATTTCACCAAGCTCATCGACCACTTCCAGCTGAGGAAACCTTTTGTCCAGCAACGACCACAGGACCTGGTCGCCATCCTTCTTCTGATAGTCGCCAGGATCCAGGTGTTCAACAGCCTCCAAGGCCTTGCCAGCCAACAACGTGTATATATAGGCTCCTCGAGCAGTTTCAGGTAACTTGTCCAGGGTCAAGAGCTTGTTCTTTACCCAAGTCTTCCATCTCTTGTATTCTCTTCCATCCTCATTCTCTCCGGAGAAGCGCAAAGGGGCGGCCTCCGAGGCCGCAGCAGACATGTCACGGGTGCGGATCCTGACCGCAGGATCACCAACAAGCCATGGCTTCGGAGCCCGGGCTTTCCGGGCACCGCTACCAATTGCGGAGTGTCCGCCCCAACCGCGGGGCGCCGAGCGGGCTCTTCTTTCCTCAAGCCGAAGGTCCCTCCGGGGTCACGACACGTCACGGGTGGACAAAATGATATATATACTCTGTGCAGATGAGTTAGGAGTTTGGTGATCTGATGAGTTAGCACTTGCCTGGGGAACGTCTCGACTCATGTGTGCTGGGATGATGGGCATGCTCTACAGAGACTGAAGAGATAGGAAACACACAGGGCAACCCTGCATGCAAGTCCCATCTCACAAAGGTCTGGACACGTTTCGGACACAAGGTTTCAATTGCTGGCATGCACATGGCACATCCCGTTGACATTCCATCAAAACCGTTCAAAATCGTGGCGTTTGTCCACCGCCAACCATGTCGAGTCCATCAAAGGCCTCACAACTCCTACCTCATGCGTTGTCATCCACAAAAACCTCTCCAAAGTGCTCCAAAGCATGCTAAAGAAACACACTCTACAAAGCTCATGTTGAAATCATGTTTTCACTGCCTCAGGCTCATGAGCTAGGAGTTATGTATGAAATAATGGCCCAAATGCACTTTTCCACATGAGATAGGACTCATGATTTTTGAGATACTTCCGCCAACTCCTTAGTCATCAGTATACAGTATATATATATATATTCCATCGGGGACACGCAAGGTATTTGGTATGTTCGAGCACAATGGAATTACACAAGTGTGTATATGTGTGTGTATGTCGTGAAGGCGGCTTCACATCAATGTAGCCTGCGTTTGATCGCCACACCAACCTTTAGGAAACTCACTAAGAATCCCATGTCCTTTTGCCAGAACACCTATTTCTGACCACAGTGATATCGTCACTCACTTCCAGACTTGTACGTGTGTATCGCATGCTTTCCCTTTTCTCCAAGCAAATGGTCTCTAAATCTCCCACGTAAAGCCGATCAGTGGAACATTTCACCCTCAACCGCCCTCCCGTCGCAGGTTCAGACCTATCCGGTGAACGGCGGGCTCCCCTGCCCGGTCTCCTTGCGAGAGCTGCGTGCGCCCGGCACTCAGACTGAGATGTGCAGGATGGATCGGAGATGTGCAGAGTCCTCAGGATTTCGTTGCGATTATTGCTAGTAGCGACGCCAGGAGCCCTTAGTAGCGTCCTTGCTCCTAGTAGTAAGGCCAGGAGCCCCTAGTAGCATCCTATCTTCTTGAATTACTTGAATCTGGAAAAGCTGTGGCTTCCCTGGCCTCCCCTCGACACTCAACATACAGTACCTCTTTGGATTATAGTTGTACTATCAGTGTTGTTACCCAAGAAGGCGACATTGCTGATAGCCTGCGCTTGACATGTTTGGTTGCCCCCCGCTTTCAAGTAGTTGCAGGGTGCAGTCGTAATGAAAGGACCGCTCTCTATTGTCTTGCCACACCAAGGTGTGCTATATCCGATTGCAACTCTGTTGATTGCCAGGTTCGTGCGATGAAGCAGCTGTTACCTGGTAATCTGTGGAGTTCAAGGTAATGTCATTCCGAAACGGGAAGCCGGTTGGCTGGATGGAATATGTGTTTGGTATGTGTAGATGAAAGGCATTCTGTTTGGTCCTTGGTGATACATTTTCTCAGACCTGTAAGTTGACGAGAAAGAAATAAAGGATTTGCGAGGGAGGCAGGATGAAGCAGAGCTACACTAGGAGATGTGCCGTCTGTGTAGGCGACCACGTGGGGAGAATGGGGCCTGTGCAGTGGACAATGCGGTTCAGGCCGGACTGCTGACCGGAAAAGGATGCCCATCATCACCGAAGATTAAGAGCCAGAACTGCACCAACGATTTTGGGGCCTTTGACAGACTTCCGTTCAAGATTTGAAAGGTTTTTGCTATGCTGCTATGCGTCGTAGGGAGGCCCTTCAAAGCGGATAGTAGACGGTGGAGCCTTGTGGGGCCTTGTCAAAGGGGCCCTCACCTTCTTTTTGTCCACTCTTGAAGATCATTGAGGCACATCGTCCACTCTGATGACACTTGCATCCTTTTGACTCGATCTCCGTTTCTTGCTGTTTGGTCATGGAACACAGTAGGTCGATATGAGACTCAGGATTGGTGATAGGATCAAGTTGGAAAGGATATGCATCAATGCCACAACTAACCAACTAACCAACCTGAATCCCACATCGCCCGCATGGGTGCCAGGTCAGCAAACGCGCGACCGATCCATTGCCAGGCGGAGCCCGAGAGGGCTTCGGGGCTTTGGGGTGTGGGGGTTCTTTTAAACCTTTGGTGGTAACATATGGCGGCAATAACAATTTAAATCCACATGATCCAAGTTTGCCTTGGCTTTGGTGGATGCTGTTCGAGAGTCCAGTGCAGCGGGACTAGCTATAAACAAAATCTCCACATCATGATAGGTGGACATGTTCAACAGAGCAACCTGTTCAGACTGGGTGTTCAGACAGGTTCAGATTTTGGCCCGACCGTTTACTCTACTGTTTGATGGCCCCGCCCCTCTGCCGCATTCATCTCTTTGTGACCGTGAGAAGCTCGAGGCCTGCTCAAGGGGATGGCCAACGCTGCGTGAGAAGCTTAGAGAAGACGAGGCTGAGCAGCTAGGTCTTACTAGGACATTTGCGGCGCATACATTCAGAATGCATCTAAGACCTCTCAAGCCTGTGTGGCATTTATCTTGTCTTGTGCAAGTTAAACAGTTAAACCAAGATGGTCCTGGTTAAAGAGCGCAGACATGTTGGGACTTCGAATGTGGCAGACGTGACCCTTTCAGAAACCTTTAAGTATCCACACTTCGGGACAGACAGTTCTATATAATATAGCCTGCTTATCTCATTGGTCCGAAAGTGCAGTGGAGGACACTCAGCTTTCGAGACACCCTCCTCGGCACTTTTTAGTTTGCTTGAGAGTTCAAAGCCTCCTGGTGTATATCTTCCGATCATCAGCTCTAGCTGACGCTATTTGTTGGTCGATCCTGTCGCTGCCTCAAGGAGACAACACTGTCTGAGACACGGTCTTGCGAGGGTGGCAGCGGTGGGCAGGAGCCCGAGGAAGAGCCGCAATATGCTGCAATCATCAGTGATTCCCTGAATCCTCACAGTCCCAAGGTCAGACATCCTTTCTTCCTGTCAAAGTTGCATGCAATGGTATGTATTTTTCTCGCGTACACCTCCTCGTGTGATGCTGGGGGGAGTTCAGTTCGGCTTTAGTGAATCATAAATAACCTCAAATCACACTGCCTATTCACACTTCCCAGCCCAACTACCATAAAAACATACACACACCCAATGAGTTGTGAATCACTAGGTCAGAATCCCGGAGTGTCTAATTTTTGTTGCTCTTTTTTTCCTCTCACAACTTAGATACCTGTACGCAATAGAAGAGCCTGACAGGCATGCCAGCAAGAGAGATTCTGCATGACGCTCCCCTTAAGCAAAGACCAGAGACTGTGACAGTCCATTGGCTTGGCAGGTAAGCCTTGGCCATATAGGGATTGTGCAGACTTGTCCCACAGTCACATGTGCGTTGGAACCAACTGAATAGCGTGAGCTATCCTGCGTCCTAGCTGGGAGCTTACCTACTTGCTTAATTAAATAGGCGCCCGCTGGATTAGTTATAGTAAGCTTACCTAAAAATCTAGGAACCAAATGATTGGTGCGAGCTTGAGCTATCCTGCGTCCATATTAGTAGTCCCTTACTTAATCAAGTAAGCGCCTACTTGATTAAATAGGGACGAGGGGCCAGCGGGCTTTCAAGAAGCAACATCCAAAGTTGTCCTGATGTTTGGAGGTCCGGCTGCGGTGTTGTGAACTGCCAGTGGGGTGGGCTACTCAGTGATTCTTCGTGAAACGTGGAGCATGGTGTTGCAACTCCATTAAGGGAACACCGTCCTACGACCTCCGGTACTTGCGACCTTGAAGCGGAATCGAGCAATGACTGTTTGTACATTGCGGTGGATGTCAGCTTGGGTCCTTGTGCACGTGGACACTCTGGCGCCAAACCGAGTGGAAACAGACCTTGTCGACATTTGTCGACCGCTCTTGGAAAGTGGACAGTCTGAGCCGAAGTTAGCACACTTTCTTGGATATGCTTAATAAGCAATGCTCAATTACATGCTTTCTTGCTTCACGTTTGAACCAGGAACATGGTCGGCCTGGAGTGGATGCACGTGCTCTTGCGGCTGGGAGCCCAGCTATGCAAGTGCGGCATAGTCCCACCAGTCGCTGGGTGGTTTGATGGTCGTAGAGTTGGCCATGCAACTCATCTTTTTTCAAATATGCATCTAATCTAAATAGCCCATATCCGCATACTGTATACATGTAAACTGATTGTTTGTGTATATAATGCGCACACACACAGAGAGCTTGTAGGTCAGTGTAGAATGCCTTGCATTTTTATATCGCATGTCCCTTCCGTACCCTCAGAACTTCAACTACTGGTATAGGACTAGGAGATCAGTCGTTGCTTTGTTCAAGATAGATTGGTTACCAGGTACTGAATCGAAAGCATCAGAGTGACCCGGTGATTCCCAGCGAAAACGCTTCGGACACTTCGTCGACTCCACTCCAGGTGGCGGCCAGCGAACCCGAAATCGCCATATAGCACAGACGCCGCAGGTTGGAAGGGGAGCGAACAGCATGTGCAGGTCACGAGCCTCCATCGGTCTAAGAAGTTTTCTGAAGGCATCTTTGTTCGACTAGTGACCAAGTGCTGGGAAAGAAATAGGATGGCGTCATATTGCGTATCCTGCTGTTGAGAAAACATCGCGGAGTACCATGGAGAGCTCTTTAGAGTTCGGGGCTTTCCTCCTTGTTGCAAACTTGTTCTGTTTGGACTCTGGTCGTCATTATTGCCCATTGCTGGCAATGGTATTTCCCATTCCAAACCCAAGCCGCACCATATAGCTTTTGTATTTTTGAGATCACCTATATATTCAATTCATGATGTGATTGTGTGCGCCCTTGGAGTTATATACAGTAGTTAGAGCTTTTCACATTGTTCAATCAATTTGCCTAAAAATCGAACCTGCTCAGAATGGCGGTGCGATGTGTGAGCCGAACCACAAAGAGGAGGCAGGAGTACATTGGATTTCTGACAGTGCATTGTCTTGGGAAGCATGATTTGATTGAATGATGTGGCAACTGCGGCAACTACCAACCCTTTTGCATGTATAGTTTGTTGCAGATTGTTGGACAGGTTTTACTTTTTTCTGCAAGTGTTTCATGGTGTATTGCGTGTAAATATCTGTGAATATTCCTTCCAGATGCTTGCATTTTCATGGCATGGTCGGAGAAATCCACGATCGCTTTGAAATGCCAATGTTGACTGTTGATTGACAACTCCCCCATATATCAATAAAAACCATCCTGGTTTTGTATCTATTTAACTACAGTACATAGGGTGATATAATATAGGGGAGTTAGTAATCACCAGTCAACATCAGTTGCAGATCATTCCAGTGTCGCTGATCAGATCGAGCCCTGCAACACCCATTCTTGCGAGCAGAGCACTTGCCGAGATGGCGAATGGGGATTTTGGCAGGCAGGGCTTGGTTCAGCCAAGGTAGCAAGGATGGATGATTCGAGGGTGATTTACATTGGCCTGGGTTTGTTTGGGTCTTCGCGCAACCGCCAAATTTTGACTACACATTGCATACAGTATACTGACTGTACCAGCTCGTTGTGGGCCACGGACAGTATCTGATTTTGTGCACCCTATTTATTACTGAACGGTGCCTCAACCGCCAAGGCTAATGCTCCCAAGAACGCCCGGAGATTGAGGGATTTCTTCACCAATGTCAAGACATTCTACTTCAAACGAGCCAGGAGTGGTCCCCATGCTCTGCCTCCTGCACTGCACTCAGATAGTATATAGCAACATGTATGTGGCGTGCACAGCGCCGTGCCTGAGCATCTCAACAGAATCCTGTACTCGCAGATTTTCACACATACCTATCTGATACAAGACATAAAGACATTTTGTAGGCAAGGGCCCAACTTATACTGTCGCAACCTGATGACAGAGGCTTCCAAGTCTTTACAATCTTTACATGAGTTGGCTCTGAATAACAAGATGATATTTTGATATTCCTCTCGGGACCTAAATGTTGACTCATTTAAGGAAGTTGGATTTTGTTGCAGGAGCAAGGACGCTCCTAGGGGCTCCTGGCCTTACTACTAGGAACAAGAACGCTACTAGGAGCAAAGGGCATCGCTACCAGGAACAAGAACACTACTAGGATGAATATATGCTGAGGCACCGGCGGTCTACGCTTCCGCCACCGCCGTATGATGCACGAGGCACTCTGGAGCAATGGTACGCGGGTGATCTTGGTGAGCAGATGTGGCCAGTACATAGTAGTAGCTACATGTAACTACATACTACATGTATAACTACTGGATTTACTTGCAAATAGTTTTATGTCATGCAATGTGCTTAAGCGGTTTTCTCTACATCTTAGTATATTTTTTTCTTTTCCAAATGCATGGGGTGCACATGATCTTACATCAGGCAACCCCCTAAAATCTGTTTGTCCTTGCTCACCTTAAGCTTGATCAACAAGAACCAAGAAACTCGAGGACCAAGGTTCCTTCTTTTACAAGTAGGATGAAGACAAGCTTTAGGTGACATCCCCTGTCCACAAGAATTGTGCTAACTGTGTTCTTCTCGGCTATCCGCCGGGCTAGTTGCTTCAAGAGGAGAAGTAGTTTCTGGTGAGTGGGGGGCAGCTGTCCCTTTCAATTTGATGAAGAGCCTCTTCGCATCAACACGTACGGCATCCCTTTCCAGAGTTCCTGTAAGAGACTGTGGGGTTGCACAGTATATTAAACTGTGCAATCCATGGCTCTTTGAACACTGTAGAAATTAATTGCAAGACCGCTTGTCGTCAATCACATCCTTTCGCAGTTCATCCGGGGGCTTTATCATGCCACGATGATAGGCCAACGAGTGTGGAAAGCCAGCAGAAGGTCTTTCCAGAGCACTGGCACGCTGGGCATGCCGTTGGATGGGTCCTTGCTGGGGAAAGAGCTCTTGTGAAGCAACCAACTTGACCAACCCCAAGCTTTCTGACTCCTGATGGATTTTGTGTTCTAACTACATTGACAAGACGCTGACGGTTCTCAATTGAGGGTTGTGTGGTTGGGTGAGTTCATTGGGTATACCAAATTTTACTTACTGTAGACTCTGTAGACCTGACCAGGATTAGGACCGACCACGGATGCCATATGAAAACACTGAGTGGGGACTGACGCACAGTGTTGAGAAGGGTGATCAGCCTGTGCAATGTGCTAAGTGCCAGGAGCCATGCAATCAGGGTGTGCCATGTGCTGGCGATGTGGACTGCCAATTTGATTCGTGGACGCAGTGGAGCGCATGTACCAGGACTGCCAGAGGTGAAGTTTCACTATTGTGCAGAGGTGGATAGATGTTGCAAGAAGCCTTCTGAGGTTTCTATTTATTTCACCAAGTTGTGAAGAAGCATCAGAAGGCTTTTCATATCACTCATCAAGCACAGTGGATTCTTTGCTCCGCATTAGATCACCTCTTGATCCGTCACGATATTCAAGTGGAAAGATTGGAAAGATTAGTGAAAAAGTGTCAGCTTCTGCCAGAAAGCTAAGATGGGGCAACCGTCGAGCCGCAAAAAAGCGATGCTATGCTGGCATCTTGGTTTGTGATTTGTGCTCATAAGTGCACTGACCCCCCCCCACACACCCTTTCCTTTGACCAACCAGAACATTGCTCTTTGGTGGCTTGAACCATTACAAGAAACAATGGCTCTGCCGACCTTTTGTCCAGGACCTGTGATGGAATCAAGCGGCGCTCGAGACGGATCTCTGTAGGGTGCTGAAAGTGTATGGAGTGTTTGTCTTGCCGGGGTCGATCAGTCAAGGTACTTGATGCATCCGAAATCATCTTTGAGCTTGGAACTGGAAGTGATTCCTGCTTTTCCTTTCTTGTGGAATTATGATGCCTCAACAGACTCAACAGATTTTGTTTGGCTTGCTCACTGTGCAACTGATTCTCCACTGCAGCCCTTTTGGCTGAAGGGCCTTACTCTGCAACTGGGCTGTCTGATCTTGTGCCACGAACCTAGTCATGTCCAGCCAAACTTCCTGCATGGCCGTGGCGGCGGTGGGCCTTTTGTCCTTGCCAGCCTTCATTCCCAGTGGCATCACCGGCACCCAAGCTCCAGCCACCCCAACCCTGCGTGGCGCCCGGGCCACCGGGCCCACCATGGGCGCCCCCACCTGCGCCGGCCTCGCACTCACCGTTCTGGGCGCCGCAGCAGCGAAGCGGGTCACCGCCCGCAAGGCTTTGCGCAGGGAGTTGGCCGTGGCGTACGAGGACTCCGGCATCGATCTTTTGGACAACGGCAAGTTTGCCCAGGGCAACTCAGCATGGAATTGATATTCCCTATGTACAGACTCCAAACTTGAACGTGACCTGAGCAGTAAACTATCCATTGCCATAGCGGCTCCTAGCTCCAGGTTGAAGAACTTGGACTTGTTTTCTCCACCCGTCCTCAGCCTGTGACGACCCACCGGAGTACCACGTAACATATCACCAATACAACAAACATATTGAGTCATATTGACATGTGTGGAATCACATTAAATGAATGATCAGTCGTATAATCTCTGATGGACGCAATCACGGATGGTACAATAGTGTACATCATATAACACATCATAGTTATATAAATAAATAAACATATTACATAGTAATTTGTCTAATTCTCAAACCGATCAATTACTTAAAGTTCATGACATCCGACCAAGGCTTGGTGGGCTCTGAGGGCGCCTGGGGACGCTATGAGTTCGACCCTCTGGGCTTCTCAAAGAAGACGGAGTTGGTGCCCTACTTCCGTGAGGCTGAGTTGAAGCACGGGCGCTTGGCGATGTTGGCCTGGGTGGGATTGGTGGTGCCGGACTTCGTTCGCCTCCCAGGCATGGGGTTTCGGATGGTTTCGGGTTTCAGGGTGTAAAAAGAGAAGACTTTGTGTAATCCAGATGAAGATTTGTTGGTTTACACGCAAGGGCAGCTTGACTTTGGACAGTTGACCCCATCCCTTCTAGGTGAGAAGTTCTCCTTCGAGGCGGTGCCTGTGTCAATCGATGCTCATGATGCTTTCCTGGGTGCCACGGGTGTGAATGCTCAAGTCCTTTTCTGGGTGAGCATCCTTGAGCTCTGCTGCGCCAAGAAGGTCTTTGAGTGGAACTCCGTCGAGGTGGCTGGGGATTATGGCCTCACCAGCTTGTTCCCCAGCGATGAGGAAGGACAGAAGAAGATGCGCTTGGCCGAGCTGAAGAACGGCCGCTTGGCCATGCTGGCCTTCGCAGGAGCTGTGACCCAAGCTGCTCTCACTCGCCACCCATTTCCATGGCTCTTCTGAGTGAAATGACCAAAGATGCCCAAATGTGCAGGTTTCTTTTTCAAGACCTGAATCAGTGGCTCTCAGCCGCGCAAAAAGAGCGAGCAGTCCTTGTTGTGTGAGCTGGCCGTGCTGATTGGGGATAGTCATCTTGAACATGCGCCGTTCATCACTCTTTGGCTTATTCTTTCTGCTTTGATTTGTGCAATTGATAATGCCATAGGTGTGGCAGTAGAAGCCGTGCTTGTGCGGCTTTGTTCCTTTGTGTAAGGCCAGTGTAAGGTCAACGTTCTAAGTACTGATCGAGAGCAAAGCAGATTTGGCTCTTTTCCGGCTGCTCATGATCAGATTGGGTTGCTGAGGTTCAGGGCAGGGGCAACGGCAGGTGGTGCTCGGGAGCAACGAAGGACACGGAGCGTTCACTTCATGGAAATCTCCGCAAAGGGAGTTGCCAGCCCAGCAATGTTTTTTTGCACAAAGTGACAGCGCATGAACCTCTTCAATCTGACTTCCCAGATTGTTTCAGGAGACATCTCCCTGCAACCCGGACCCAGGGATGCCAGCCCCTTCAGCCTGCCGGCCAGCTGCGGCCTTGGCACTTTTCGGCCTTGGATGAATCGTGGCACGAAAAATCCAACGCTTCGCTTTGGCATCCGGCCGGTGGGCAGCGTCGGGACTGGGACTTCACAACGAAAGCGGCGACTGTAGGTGCCAGACCAAGACTGCAGGCTCAGCGAGTGTGGAGCCTAGACCAGAATCGTCGAAGTGTGTAGCCATGTGCAGCCTGGAATGTTTTGGTCCTGCCTGTCTTGTGATGACACACGATGGAAACAGGTCGAACATACTGTCAATTGTAGTACAATGATTTGTACAGGTCGTAAGCGCAATGATATATTTACGGGTGCACCATGCATATTGCATGCAGAGACATTACTTTGACATTAGATTGAGTAATGCTGCAATTTTTCACGCATTGACTACACAAAGTCACCTTCTAGGTACTAGTATATACGCATATATTGTCACATGGCCACATATTTATGATCTAATATCTATATATCATTAATTACAGCGAACGCTTAGTGATTCTTATTGCACCGCCATATGTTGCTTGCACCAGAATGCAAGTTGTGAGGTGGAGTCAGTGGGGTGAATGTGATGCAACGTGTGGCTTCCGGCACGTTTGGGTTTGGGGCCGTGGCTATATTTGCGTGCGAGAGTTGCTATATAGTTCGTTGAGCACGGACAATGTGGTGGTGGCAGGTGCCCTTTTGTTATGATATGTATATCAAAGTGTATCAAAGTCTTTGCATGAAGACCAGCACTGTTTCGTGGAGTCCATTGAACCAAAGGACGGGGGATTCTCCGGGAAGCTTATGTGCTGGTAAAAATGAACGGCCTCAGTCCACCCTTGCAATGCTTCAAACAGGTGTTGTGGTCGCTGTGAAAAAGAGACAAAGCCCCGCGACTTACCTAACCCGACATTTAGGTCCTCGCCAGAATACACTGTTATTTACAATGTAAAACGTGAAACGTATGGTTTGCGAACTTTTCAATGCTTCTTTTGCATATGTCCCAAAATGACCACAACAGAATTCCAATCCATCCAATACATACGCCTCATCATTGGGAAACGCTACAAAGACTAAACATGCGTGAACATAACTATAATATGTTTGTCCAAAAGAATGGCTGAGACAACCATTAGTACATCTGCCTTCAACCTTGGCCCTGCGACCACACTCTGTGCTATGGGACAACTACCAATGCATTCCATGAATGAAACTACAGCCACATGAGTGGCAGAACTGGGACGAAAACCGTTTTGGTTGCTACATGGCTACGAAGTCACAAAGCCACAGACATAGACAGCCCCAAAGCCCGCTTCTTGAGATTTAATCTGTTTAGCCAAACTTTTGTGCTGTCCTCTACCTGGGATGGGATGGAGGGCAGAAAAAGGAATATATATATATATATATTATTTTTTCATACATTTGTTCTAGCAGAAGACCTTGCTATGTAACCCTCACTAACCTTGTGATTTTCATCATTACAGGGTCTTTTGGGCACAAGTCCGTCCAATGTTCGAGCCAGGTGGAGGTGGACAGAGGGAGCGCTCTCGCAGTGTGGACATGGAGGCGCTCTTGTAGCCAGTCGCTTGGGGAGAGGGAGGGCTTGTTCTTTTTGGTTGGTTTGCAATCTAAAAAGGATGGTGAACACGTGCGAACCTGGCTTAGAGTCTTAGAGAACTGCGGGATCTTTGGGAATGAATTGATGCCAGTTGCCTCTGATTTCCTCTTTGCAGGACCAACCATGCGAAGTCGACATTTTTTTTCATGTGCCGTGCTACAGGGCCCACGGGACATTCACATTTGGCCTGCCCCAATCCATCTAGGAGGCCAAAAAGGACTGCTTGGCTTGGCTGACTCGACTGAAGGAGAACAATCATGAGGCAACTTTTCTGCTAGTTTTCCTGCATCAACTGCAGTTTTATACCCAAAGGGATCCGAAGGGCACGGTTCAACGCTCCCATGCCTGGCATTGTTCGTTTCAATGGCCTGCCTTTGCATGCCTCTGGTTCATGACGAGTCAGTGTCCCACACGTTTGCATCGAATCTAGTCCATACTGCAAACAGCAGAAACATGTGTGAAAAGACCACAACAAATCTCATCAGCTTTCACTTTCTTTATGGCACTGTGGCAAATCGCTGGAGAGTAGCTCGCAAGTCGTTGATTCAGGCTCGTGGTGGCGGATTGACTTGCCTGGCCCCAGGAATTTTGGCTTCCACGGAAAAGTGTAAGTGCCGAAGCATTCACGGTTGGAAAGGCTTTAAAGTGGCGTTGGTTTCCAAGCTATGATGAACAGAACGTCAAGGCTATGTCAGAGTGGGATATGTGGTTAGTAGATTGAGTCATTACAGGAGGTGAACACTGGCAGGCAGGGTACTCAACAGCTTGCAATGCAGGTGCTAAGTTGCAAACAAATCCAAGGGCTCCCATTGGCTTCCATCCAAGGTCGGGACTCTTTGTCTGAGACAGATGGCTGTGCCCAACAGGCCGAGTAAAACAATGTCGTCTTTGAGGTATGATAGTCCAGTCCAGTTCCATGATTTCAGACTTGCTGTTGAGAAGATGCAGCATCGCATAATTAGCGAGTTTTGTCCAGAACGCAGTCATGGTTCGCATTTGTTTAAGCCGGCATTGCCGCAGGAATGCACTGTCCAGGGACCTAAACGGGATTGCGGTTAGGAGCCCCAGCATGAAGTCCGAAGTGGCTGGCGTTCCACAGGTGTGAAACAGTGCGTCCACACGGGGACAACATATTGTATGCTCAGTGGTGGATCCTCACGCCTATTTCCATACGTATAATATGTGGCGGATTTGTTGGACTGGCAGTTTCATCTCCTATGCTTGCCAAGCCCTGTTTGAAGAGGAGTTGCGCATTTGTACTTGGAAGAAATTCTGACAAAAGCAACTCGAATGCGGCATGTGGAGTGTGTCAGCTGGATTTGTTCCCTCGAGATTTCGGACTTTTCATTGCATCATTAGTGTCGCTTGGCATTGGTTTGCCGAGAGCGGTCCTGGCAGCTTCATTCATCGGAGAAGTTTGTATGATTTCAGGCTTTCAGCCTTCATGGATTTCTTGTAGGTAGAAGACTATATTGAAAAAGGTCGCTTGATACTTTTGCTTTTGTTGAAGTCAGCTTTCTCACATCCTCTCTCACGCATACTTTCAGGTGAGAAGATACATGTGAAGTGCACGCATTCTATCCTTTGTCCCGCTTGTACTGAAACCTCGGGCCCCCCTAAGAGTATGAATACTTTCTACTTTATTTCTACAGTTCCACAACCAAAAAGGTGGCTTTCTCATCCCGCGAGCATGGGCTGTTGCACGCTGCAGAATGGAGCCAATGGAGCCAGTGGGGCGCATGCAACAAGTGTGGCGGTCAAAGGTGGGGAGTGAAGAAGTTCCAAAACTGGAAGACACTTTTTGAAAGAAAGATGACACACATGTCCACATTAAAGCTGTTGCATGCTGTTGCTTGCTGTTGCTGGATGTGCTATGTTTGGATTGAACGAGAACTACTTGTTTTGACGGGGACTGCTTACACAGTGGGTTGGGGGCAGCCATTCTCCGAGGCAAAGAAGTTCATGTGGGTCGGTCAATCAACGGCAGAGTCAGTTTTTTCTGTGTTTTTCCCGGCCAAGCCACTCGTAGCAGCTCTCCTTGTGATTTCAGGAAAATGCAACTCATTCCTTCTTGGTGGACATGTTTCTTGAGGTGGAAGGTGTGTATAACCATCCAAGCTCCGCAAACTTCAGGGAGCGTTTCAGACATGTGATGCACGAATCCGAGAATGGCGGTCTCAGCTGTGAGTGCGGGGGCTCATCATTTCACTGTGACAGGATTATGCCTTGAGGGCTCGGGGTTGTAAATTCGAGCCTACAATGAGAGGAGGAATTTGGCATGTGGTATTAAGCTATTAGGTTGGAGGCCATTGCTACTAGGCCATTGCTATTAGGTTCCTTTTGCTATTAGGTTGGAGGCCATCACAATGAGGAATTTGCCATGAGCGAGCTTTCAGTCACGATTGCCGATTGCCGGATTGATCTGAGCCCAACGAGCCCAGGGATTCTCAAAGACCGGCGTGTTGGATCCAACGAGCCCAGGGATTTCCTTTAGTTTCACGATACCAATGATTACGATGTAAACATGGTCAAACGGTAGAGTGACCCGCTCGTTTGGGCGAGCATGAAAGACATTACATCATGTTACTTTGCACATGATTGTGTTTTATGGTCCTTATGGTTTGTTGTTGTATCCAAACGTGGTTGTTGAGTAAGGTGCCCAAACGCACCCTTTCAGGAGTTTCTTAAGGGGTTGGGTCTGAGGTGGGTCCGTCCACGGGTCTCCCATTTTGCCAAGGCTGAAAGCTGCAGAGGAGACTGGGAAATGCCCCAGGCAATGCCATGAGACGTTTCTTGGGTGCACAGGATGGAGGGAACCAGAGAGGTGTTGCGACGGTCTTCGCTTGGTGCAGCGGTCTTGTTTCCGTGGGATTGCAGTGAAGGCGTTTTGGTGATATTTGGTGAAGGG